AGCGTAGGGGTGACGGCAACGGCAGCAGGCGTGTCGCAAGGCACGACAGACTTGGCATCACGACAGCACGCAGGGAGGGCGGCCGCGCAGCAGCAACGGCGGCCTCACACGACAGCGCCCATGACTATTCCCACGGCACACGGCTACCCCAGCGCGGCAACACGTGGGCGCACGCGAAGCCCATCGACACGACGACGTCAACCACTAACGCGCGATGACCGCGCCCACGCGGGGGAAGCAAACCAGAAACGTGATGTGCATGGATTTTAAAGCTTCTACCGTGACCAAACCGTTACTCCTAAACATAAACGGTCTTCACTGCACTCAAGATGGTATATGAGGCTACTTAATCAAGCTATAATACTACATTGTTCTTTAACCCAATTCCTCAAAATAGTTTGCTAAACATAGCAATGTCTAACTATCAACAGACTTGGAAATTTTTCTAAGTTTTGAGTTAAACTCTATTTCAAATTGTATTTCTAAGCTATTGGAAATATTAGCTAGCAAGGTTATTTTTCAACAGCAAGTATTTCATCATCTTCTACAAAGTTCACACTCTAAACTTTATTTAAGTATCACATACATGTTTCATAGCATTTTTGCTTAATAAAAATTGGTTTTCAACCTTAAGTGATATAACATGACTATTGAATTAACTTTCATTTCGCATTCGAGTTGATTGTTTCGAGTTATAGAAATTGATCTACACATTTTATTACATGCATTAACACATAACACATGATGCTCATGACATATTTTAGTAAATGATTTACAGCCGCGACCGCTGGCGCTCTACTCGCCGCTGGCGCCGTTGCCCAGGCGCTCACGGTGGCTGGGCTACAACCCGTGACGGAGCAGGGGCAGGCGCAACTGTCATCGTCGAAGGGTCCCCTGTGCTACTAGAGTGTGTAAGGTTGGGAAGACAAGGGTAGAACACTCTTTTGCTATTCTATTTGTGCTGTTAGTTGGGTTAGAACAGCTAGTAAAAAACCACTATTTTGGTACCTAGCTAATAATTACCTGCTCTATTTGCTGCACCTATTTGGATCGGCCTAGCTAATAGTTAGCTGTTCAAATTAGCTGAAGATGGATCTAAACAGGTGCAGCTAATAGAGCATATAATTATTATCTAGGTATCAAAATAGTGGCTTTAATTATTAGCTATTAGTCAGGAGGATCTAAACAGGGCCTTAATTATTTTGATCCTGTTTGACCTGGTCAGAAGTCCTTGCTGTTGTGGCTGTTGTTGGCTGTTGTAGCGAGGATTTATCACAATCTTTATTTAACTCTCATGCACTGTTTTATGTTACTTCCTCGGTCCACAAGAGAATAAAATTCTAGGGCAATAAAAATTAGAGTATCTTGAGTTTGAGTAATTATAAATAAAAATATTAATATTTAAAACATCAAATAAGTATTATCAGATTTTTCATACTATAATTATTTGATGTCATAAATATTAATATTTTTTTACGACGAAAGAAGAATTATATTAGATAATAACTGGGTACATGAACACATTACCAGCACTCTGGATTACACAAATATCCATAAACTGATTTTCATCTAAATTGTACCCACGCTGTGAAAAGCTTCAAATCTCAAAACCAAACCTGTAGGACGCTTTGCAGTATGAATGACCGCACAGGCAAATACTCGTTAAAAGGTCTGAGAACAGATGCCCAACGAACGACGGCCAATATTCATGTAGGCGGAGTTGAGAAACTTATTCTTTCTGGTGTCTTCCTTCTTCTTTCTGCCAACTAAGAATGAGGAAGACTGATCTGAAACTTATTCTCCCTAGTCCTTCATTGTGGTCAGATCTAACCATAATAAAACGGAGAAGAGACCGGAAAAAATTATTTTATGACAGCGACACCATCTCAGCCTTGATGTCGTCGTTCAGAAATAAAAGTCTCCATGTCGTCAAACCGGTGAGGATACTAACGTCGTAGTTGTTGCCCGCATCTTCAATAGAGCCGTCGTGAAGAAAACGACTCCACCCTACCCTCTCGCTGTTTGTCGAAGAGGAGGAAGTAAATCCCCAAACCCAAAAAACTTGGCATGGAGAGACCATAACCCTAAAGACTCGATATATTTGGTTAAATTTTAGAAATGTTAACCAAGAATACACCTAGAATTGCATTATTTTGTGGATAGATATAGTACTATCGTTAGTAGGGTCTTTTAAGAGCAACTCCAAGAGACTCTCTGTATCATTACTAATTGCTATGAATAGAGATTTTGGTGAAAAAAAATTCCTCCAACAACTTCTTTAATTGGTTACCTAATTCCGGATTTCTCGCTAGCCAAATATAAAAAATGAGAATGGCTCTCTAGAGTGCGCACAAGATATAAAAAAACTATTGAAAAGTGAAAATATATAGAAAGCTTATGCAAATGACTCTCTAAATGGTGATTTAGAGAGTGAGCTTTAGAAAGACTTCTGGAGATTCTCTAACTATGACTTGTATTTTTTTAGTTTTTTCATAGCTTATTGTACTTTTTTTCTCCAATGAATATGTCTCCTTTCCTTGCATATCAACTTCTTAATCTCTCTCTTTCGGCATAAATATCTCTAATTAGTTTATCCTCTTAATTAGTTTTCTTATAGCTAATGGACTTCATTCGTTACTAAGCTTAGCAACGAATTAGCGCAAAATGGCTTGGTTGCTTAACGTCCTGAAAATCTACGAGCCCTCGACAACTATAGTAGCTATAACAAACAAATTTAACAGCTAGCAACTACAACCATAGCAAGAAAAAACACGGCCAAGGAGAGCCTTTCATTGTAGGAATAGTGGAAGCTGGCTTCTAAAATCCACCTAAGGCTCTAACCATACTCTATGCATAGCTTATAGTCATCTTATAAAACCTAGAAAAACATAGATGAAATCTAGAATGCTAGGCAATCTAGCTTTTTTAGCTTCTAAACTTGAAAAGGCAATCCGGCCCTTCACTTTTACAATAGCATTGGAATCCTTCACTTTTACAATAGCATTGGAATAAAAAACCAAAGCATGAGGGTCTTTTGGTACTTTAAAAGCATCTTATTTTAGCTTTCACAATCTATGGATCTAAACAACCTCCCAACCCAGCTTCTATAATCATAAATGGTGTACCCAAAGAAGACCTTTATATTCCTATTAGCTTTGTTTGGTAGGGCTTCTTAAGGGGTATCAGCTTTGACTTCTTTGGCATCATGGGTGAAGCCCTGACAAATGCTAATTCAAGAAACAGCACCAAAAGAAGCTCTAGAGGAGAGAAGATTTTTTATACTACAAGGATGAAGCCACATAAATGTATCTTCTCCGGTGTCTTGGGTGAAACCGGTTACAAAGAAACCCTGTCTAACAGGTCAGATTTATCTAACTTTGATCGAATTTATAGAAAAATGCATTAAGATATACAATATCAAATTAGTCTCATTAATTTTTCTGTGAAATGTCATCGTGATGTATTTTGTTTGAATTTGTACATGTTAATTTTTAGAATTAGTTAAGGTTAAGGGAGAAGTATCTATTTGGCACTGAAAAAAACGGTCTTCCTTCTAAGGCACTCTTAAAATCGAAGTTCCTTATCTAACATCGAGTTGAAATTTTCTTCCCTATTTGGCACTATCACTAACAGTGTTAAGTGGCCACCAAAATGACCTATTTACCCTTGTTTATCGGAACTATATGGTGTCAAATAAGAAAGCATGAATGTTTGTGGTGTCAAATAAGGAAAAACATGAATGTCATGATTGTGTAATAAGGAAGAGATTAGTTCTGGTTTCAAAGGTTGTTTTATTATATATGTATTTTCTAAGAATAATAGAATAATAGGTAAATCACTATAATTCATAAATATTTCTTTTTAATTTAGAAAAATATGGAATTGGTACATTTAAAAATATATATATGTAATCTATCTCTTCAAGATCTACAACTTTAGTTTTGATAATTTCTTCATTCGTGTTTATTTGAAAATTTTGAATTTCAAAATATAAGAACTTCAAACATATTTTTGGGACCATAAATGATTTCAACTAAAACAAAATTATAGATTTGGTCGAGATCTACAATTTTCATATTGTTCATTTATCTATCCGAGTTCGTTTGAGCAATTCAAAAAATTTAAATTTCAAAATATAAGATCTTCAAATAGAATTTTAAGACCATAACTTCAATTTCAAATTTGACTTCAGATAGAACTAAAATAAACCATAATTTAGAACAAAAAAAGTACACCATTCGTGTTAGCATAATATTAGTCTAATGTGGTGGTAAAAGAAAAGGCTCATATATTAAAAATTCTTCTGTTGTTGTCAGGAGGTTAAAACTCACGGATCTTGCAGGTCTGGAGGTTCAATCAGTTTGTCTTTCTTGTTTTGATGAGATTCATGAGAGGATAGCAGAGCCCGGCACGGCAGCTCACGGTGGCGTCTGGCTATTGCGCGTGGCGGGACAGGCAGAACAAAGGGGGCGTTGGTGTAGCAAAAGAAGTGTGTGATAAACTGATAATGTTCGCTGATGTTGAAATTTGGCTTATGCTTATGCTGAAATGTTGTGAGTGGAAAATATTGTTCCATGGCTGAAAAATAGTTCGGAATAAGCTCGAGTGAACAGGGTTTTAAGCACCCCTGGACTGAGTTTTTGCAATTCTGCAGTCATACGAGGTCCTCCAGTTTTAACCATTTTGTTCTGCATCCTGTTTTCATCATCCTAAATGGCAGGGAGATCAAGTGCAACAACTCATCAGATTTACGGAGTCCTAACTCCAGTCTGGGGAAAACTCTAAAGGGATCGTAATCACATAATGACATAAGATAGAGTGTTTATATATTATTTCAATGAGGAACCATTTATTCATTCAACAGCTGAACTGTATTCCAGGACATGGTATTCCAGGATCGAGGTTTCCATCGCATATTGGAATCCATACATTCTCCGCTGAGGACAGTTCCTCACCTAAATCAAGCAAACGAAGGATATAGCCACCTAGTCAGTGTGAGCTCAGTCCACCAAACAAATAACCTCCTGTTCTTTAGAATCATCTACCCATGGCTTGAACTGATCTTCATGTACATTGTTCTGCAGAAGAATGAAGCTCAAAGTTAGCAGATTCACATTGCTGCTTAGGTATGCAACAGCCTGGCAATAAGAAGACAGTATGTACTGATGCTGCAAACAAAACTGGTTCCAGTGTGGTTGGCATCAGGTCTGCTTAACCAGACCTAATGGCACCTATATTGACTTGGAGCCTTGCAGGCAAAGAAAATGCCTATCTCAGCAAAACAAAATGAATAGCTCTACCCAAAAAATATGTAGTTCAATATAGAGAATGACAGCTTTAGGGTTCGACACTTGTGCTTGAACAAAAGATATGGAAACATACGGATTTGATATATGAAAACTTTTTTCAAACAAAATACAAAGATAAAGACAACAGGCACTGCCAAAATAATTACAAGATACTACAAGGATACCTGCAACCAGAAGAGAAACCCCCGCATCAGAGCTAGACCATAGAGACTACCACTTTTCATAATTTGGTCGGCCAGATCTGACGTAAATAAAATAAAGAAAATGCATTAATTACTACAGTTACAAGCAAATCTGGCCAGTTCAAGAATAAACAGCACTCTTTCTCAACAATATATTGCTCAGCACCAACTACAGAAGTGCTTTGTGGGTGCTTCTTGTGTTACAACGGTGGTCCCAAAAATAGTTTAGTCACCAAACAGAAGGTAAGAAAAACCTTCTGATGGGAAATAAATATATTATCCAAGAGAATGAATCTAGTTCGTGTGTTTATTTACCATTCCATTATGACTATGATCTCATCATATAAACTCAAAGTTCCAAAGAATCAATTGCTTAGCTAAAATGAGCCATTATTCGGTAATAGGGTTCATTTCAAAAACAAACAAGTCTGACATTTGTAGTGTTGTATAAGGCAAATCAAATTGATCCAACACCTATAGAAATATTGTGCATGAGCTACTATCGGCTTCAGTAATTGACACTGAAAATGAATACTCCAATGATAACGGCTAACTTCTGTAACTGAGTCTTTTTTCCGTTTAACTCCTGTTGACATTACAAGTTCTAGAGGAATAACCAGGGATATCAAGATGTGCCTCAGAAAGACTATGTACACAACCATATACCAGTGATTCAACGATGTCATACTATATATGATGCACCAAAAAAGAATAGGCAAACAAAATGCCTGAATATCATTGACAATAACAAAGTTGTCACAAGGAGAGGACAAAACTGGACATTAATTGCAGTGATACAGTCACACAGACAAGAACAATAAAGGACATCATACGAGAAATTTATTGGAATATTTTTCATCAACAAGAATGTAAATAGTGTGTGAGGGGAGCGTTAGATTGATCTCCACCCGGCTCGGTCCAACGACTGAGTCGGACCCTGACTCGCGCCCTGATCGGGGGCGCTCAGCCGTTCTCCTGGCTAGTGGGCCCCCGTCGCGCAGCGCTATGAATAGGAGGTGAGGGTTGGGGCTCGAGATACGAGGTTCATCGTAGCCGCCAGCGCCCCACCGAGGTTCCTAGCCCTAGTCTGATCTAGAAGGACGCGCTGTAAGCGACGGGAAGTCCACACCACCTTCACCGCCCCACATGAAAGTGCCAGTAGCTGAGGCCCCAGAAGGTCTCAAAGAATTAGTAAACCAATTTTCTGATGACTATGAAGTCTATGTTAGTGAAGAAATTCAAATGGAGGGTGATCCCACCTCATTTGAAGAAGCCATGAGAAGCGTTTACTCATTTGAATGGCAAGAAGCTATAGAAGTTGAAATGAATTCGATGAATACCAACGATATTTGGGACTTAGAAGAAATTCCTAATGGAGACAAAACAGTAGGATGTGAAAGGGTCTACAAGACAAAATGTGACTCCAAAGAAAATGTGGAAAGATATAAAGCATGACTTGTAGCAAAAGGCTTTACGCAAAGAGAACGAATAGATTACAATGAGAGTTTTCTCTTCAGTCTCATGCAAGGATTCTTTTAGAATCATAATGGTGTTATTGATACATTACGATTTAGAGTTACATCAGATGGATGTAAAGACGGTATTCCTCAACGGGGATTTGTATGAAAACGTTTACATGGCACAACCCAAAGGTTTTGTTGTGGAAGAAAAAGAACGTATGGGATGCCGCCTGTAGAAATCCATTTATGGGTTAAAACAAGTCTCTAGACAGTAGTATTTGAAGTTGATGAAACGATAAGAAAGTTTGGGTTTAAAGACATTTGAGAAGGACAATAGCATTTATGCGAAGTTCTAGAATGGAAAATTCTTTTTCCACATCCTGTGTATAGATGACTTCCTACTCACTAGTAGTAATGTTAATCTGCCATTGGAGAAGAAGAAGTCTTTGTCCTCAAGTTTCAATGTGAATGATCTTGGTGAAGCCTCATTGGTTTTAGAAATTGAAATTCACCGAGATAGATGAAAAGAGGTATTAGGACTATCGCAAAGGCATACTTAGAAAAGATTCTAAAGAAATAAAGTATGCATGCGAGTAAACCTACACCTGCTCCTATAGTCAAGGGTAATAGATTTGGAAACTTTCAGTGTTCCAGGAACCGATATGAGATCGATCAAATGAACATGGTTCCATATGCTTCAGTTGTTGGAAGCTTAATGAATGTACAAGTAAGAACTTACTCTGACATAGCTTAAATATCCGGGATATTTTGGCAGAAGTCCAGTCCAGATATAGATCACTGGAATGGAGTTAAGAATGTCTTGCAATTTTTGCAAAGTATCATAGGCCTCATGCTGAGTAAGAAAGAACAAGTACTCTCAAATAGTTGTAGGTACAAATGTTAAGTTTTGGCGAGATGTGTAGTAAAATCCACAGTAGTTGCTAACACTCGTAGTTGGAGTATTATTGTGGAAAAGCTCCAATAAAATAGTTGTGGTGTCATCAATGATGCATACCATAGTATAGCTTGTCATGATGCCTCAAGAAGAGACAAAAATGGTTAAGGGAATATGTACCCGGATTTAACAATGGTAGTCAACAAGAATAACCATTTGAAGTAGTTAACTCCTAAGACAACAAATCAAGTGTGCTGCCAAATATATTGACATTAAGTTATATGTTGTAAAGGAGAAAACCCAGAATCATTTTGAAAGCATTGAGCATATAAGTACCAAGCAAGTACTTGCGGATCTTCTTACCAAAGGCTAACCACCCAGTGCGTTCAGAGAACACACAGTCAATATGGGTTTACAGAAAAGGCTATGATTTCTGGATACTAAGGGCCTAGTTGAGAATCTGTTTTAAAACAGAGAGGTGCATTGTAGTTGTTTAATCTAATAGCAACTGACCGTGACGATGAGGCATACTCTATGCACTAATCTGTGATGGAATGAGGAAAAAGACAAAGTAAACTAGGTTTTAAGTCATAAAGAGATCAAGGGGGAGAATATTAGATTGATCTCCATCCGGCTCGGTCCAACGACCGAGTCGGACCCTGACTCGCGCCCTGATCGGGGGCGCTCAGCCATTCTCCTGGCTAGTGGGCCCCCGTCGCGCAGCGCTATGAATAGGAGATGGGGGCTAGGGCTCGAGATACGAGGTTCACAGTAGCCGCCAGCGCCCCACCGAGGTTCCTAGCCCTAATCCGATCTAGAAGGGCGCGCTATAAGCGACGGGAAGTCCACACCGCCTTCACCGTCGCCACTGGTCTGCGCCTCCACTGCGTCACCGTCGGGACTTCACCGCGTCACCACCGCACCTCCACCGCACATCAGCGATGGCCAGCTCGTCTTCTGCGACGGTGGACGATGGTTTGCCACCCCACATCTCTCTCCCTCTCTTTGTTTCTCGCACTAGATCACGTTCTAGGGTTTACTACTTCATTCAAATATCAGTTCTACATGCTAGATCTATGGCCAGTGATCCTGTCAAGTCTATCAGGGAGAAGAAACGTGGAGACAGTGTTCATAAACAAGAAGTAAGCAAGCGCTGCAAAACTGTACCAGGGTAATGCTCCAAATATGATTTGCCCATCTCTTCCGCAGGATATGATTTTGTTTCATTACGGACCTGCCGCAGCTTCATTAACGGAGTACGGATAGTAACTGTCTCAAACAATCTATAATACTCCTTCGGAGCAACTGGCTTTGCAAGAGCCTTGATCAACCTTCGCTTGAAATCTGAATCTGGCCTTCGTGTGATATGTGTAGGCCATATAATACCTTCCTTTTCTACTTTCCCCCTCTGTATCAGATGAATAGGAAGGAAGAACAAAATCAGATGCAACAATTATGTCAAACATCATCTCTTTTAGAAGAAATATATATATATATATATATATATATATATATATATATATATATATATATATATATATATATATATATATATATATATATATATATATATATATATATATATATTATATTTCTTCAAACAACTTGAATGAGACATTTCGATCCACGTTCTGAAAGTAAGTTGAGAAAGGCGCACGTTATGTTAAAAGAAACGTACTGGGCTACTGGCATATTTTTTTTTTTAAAAAAATCTGATACAGCTCCTGGCACAGTCCGCTGAGAACAAGCACGGATGTATAGCAATGGAAATTCTTTGCGCTAATAGATACTGAATGTAGTATTCCTTATTCTGGTAAGGACAGTATGCGCTAGTGACAAACTGACAACGACACGCAATTGTAAGTATCAGAGTTTCTCACCGAATTAGTAGGGTGTCCTGCACGACGGCCATCGCTTGAGCTCGCCTCCCGATACGCGCCCTTCAGCGTGTTTGCATCCGACAGCCCCTCATCTCCGCCATCGTTCACCTCACGCCGTGGCGATGGATCCGCACGCCAATCGGACGCGTTCTGTTCCGGAACAACTGTCGCCGGAGCACCGGAGGCAACCTCATCGCTCCCCGCTGCAACACCGACCCCTTCCCCCGGTGAAGCAAAGGCCGCCTCTTCCGCCCGCTGCGTACCCTTCTCCCCCCGAGACCCCGCCGCAACCGGCTCATCGTAGTTGACGACGACGCCCCCGATCTCGAGGACCAACTGGCCATCCACAAGGCTCGTGTGCCGCAGGAAGAGGCGGTAGTCCTCGTCGACGTCATCGAGGGAATCGTACCACGCGGGAGCCGTCTCCAATGACGCCGACTCGGACGATTCCCTCTCCTCCACTGCGCGGCGGTTGCTGCTGAGGCGGCCCGGGGAGGGATCGGAGACGCACTCGCCGTCGGAGGAGCTGACGAGCGGGGCCTCGTACTTGAGGAGCGAGGCCGGGGAGTCGCCGTTGGCCGGGAGCTCGAGGGTGTAGGAGTCGCCGTCGAGGCGGATGTGCTCGAGGAAATAGAGGTAGTCGGGGTCGGCGTCGCCGGAGGGGAGGTCGCCCCCGGCGAACGGGGAGCGGAGGACCGGCATGGTGAGGGGTCTTGGGGGCTAAGGGTTTTAGAGGGCTCGACGCATCTCGCCCTAGCTGCCCGCCTCTGACCCGGGCTCCGCTGGGTGCGCCGGCGGCCGGCCGCCGGCCCCTTCTGGGCGCGCACGCGCTGCAGCAGCGAGTGGTGGCGAGGGCGCGAGGCAGCAGGGAGTGGTGGCGAGGGCGCGAGGCCGCCTGCTAGGCGGCGGGCGGCGGCCAAGGCCAAGGCCAAGGCGCAGAGGCTGAGCCGCCGAGAGGTGGCCGTCGGGTGGGGATGCTGGAGCCTCCCGGAGGCCGGGCGCAGGTACTGAGGAGGGGGCGTCAGTCTGAGGGAGTTATATACCTGGGGGTTGTTAATGGGCTGCCAGTGGGCTGCTTTGTTTTTGAGCTCCAGCGGTGATCCGCGGGTAAGATTGAAAATCTGCCCCAAACCTGCTACCTTTCGGTATCCCAACCCGAAAATTTGTGGACGAAAAACTGTCCCCCAAAACTAGAACCGCTGGACTCGAAATCGTGGATATAAACCGCCGCATTGCCATCCTTAGATCTAGCCTCGTGGGAATTGGGAGCGGCTGGCTTTCGTAACTCCTGTGGGCTCTCCCGTTTCTAGGCCACGTAGGGTGTGTTTGGTTTCGTAGCCAATTTTTAGTCTAGCTAGAATCCTACCCTAGGTAGCTTTAGCCTGCTCCCACTAAGCTAATCCGGGGTTATTTGGTTCTATGACGTAGAGTGTGTTTGGTTTCGTAGCCAATTTTTAGTCTGACCAGAATCCTAGCCTGGGTAGCTAACTTAGGGTTGTTTGGTTGTATGTACTGTGTTAGTCTTACCAGCTCTAAAGTATGTCTGGTTGTCTAATTTGTTTTGATATAGTTACATCTTCTCTATATCGGTAAGTTTACCCCTTTTTGAGAAATTTAGTCGAACACCAAGTGGGCACCTCTTGAATGGGTGCACGTTGAGCATCCAACGAGCACGGGCAGCACCCAATGAGCACGGTGAGCAGCCCGGCGATGGATTGGGAAGAGGGAGGCAGTCAGCACCCAACGGGCTGTGGTCCAGGCTCCGCGTGTCCGTGCAGGCTGAGGAGCGGAGCCGGAAGGCGGCGGACGAGCTAACCGCGGCGCTGTCCGCGGTCACCATGGAGGCAAAGCAGGTCAAAGGTCAAAGCGTGGCTCTCGGACGCGCGGGACGAGCTGGAGGCGGCCCACGCCGAGCGCGACGACTCTAGGGCCTCCTCCAGTGCGCCGAGGCGGAGCTGTGGTCGACCACAGAGCGGGTTGGCGCTCTCACCTCTGACTGGAAGGACGCCGTGGCCGGGTGGCACGCCAGTGAGAAGGCGCGGCTGGCGCGCGCGCGCTAAGGAGGAGGCCACCGCCGTCGCATGGAAGGAGAGCGTTGCCACGTGCTGGAGTAGGCGGTCGAGGCGCAAGGCGCTCGAGGCCGCCACCGGCGACAATGCCGGACTGCAGGAGGCCGTCGCGGAGACTGCCGGGCGAGCGCGCAAGGGGCCTCCATGGCCGCGAGCACCGAGGGGGAGAGGAGCGAGCAAGGGGCCTCCATGGCGAGCACCGAGGGGGACCGGGCGGAAGAGCAGAGGACCGACGAGCGGAGGAGCGCGAAGGACCGGGCACGGGCGATGACGAAACTCGCGTCGGATGCTAGCTCGGGCCAGGCTCCACAAAAACGACCAGATCGGGCGTTCTTCGAGGGCCAGGCTACGATGGTACGGTTGGCCAGACTTAGCCAGGCTCCAGCCCACTTACAAGCAGCTGCGGCACAATCGAAACACTGTGGTTCCCAAGCCGGGCCGAACGACCATGATTCTTCGGCCCATTATACTTTCGTCTCTGCAAGTACGCCTATACCGGGTTGAAAGTAATTCACAGTTTGCTTCGGAAGGCAAACATGTTTCTTTTTTTAGTTCACTATATGAATGCTCAACACCTTAAGAATAGGTCCCCGTAGATACAAACACAAAACCAAGATCCTAGCCATGCTAAACCCACGCTGGGCAAAAACACAATACATCTTGCAAAAGATTTACTTGTTAAGACATTGTTACCCTGGCTTGAACTGATCCCTAGTTGCGTATTACCTTTGCATTAAACTAGGGCCAAAACTTCTAATTAAAGGCATCATCTCAAGTTCTAACACATATAGTACTGTCAATACATGGGTGTAAACAAACGCGAACTGAGAAATGTAATCCATTCGAGAGAGCACGGTAATAATTTGCTCAAACCGACAAGGTGACACACTTTACTTGATAGTGAACAGTTCATACATGAGTTATGACTTACAACATGCAAATTGAGAAATGTCATCCATCAACCAGGAACAGTAACATTTTGTTCTTCAGAATCCTCTTGTTATAATAGGTGAGTCAAAATAGAGCATAAGAATAAAAATCGGAATATGTCACGAGATTCTTTTGTGGTTATTTATGAACAACAAAAATAAAACAATTAGCTAAAATGACTAATTTTAACAATAGTACCTTTTCTAGAATCCTTGACTCGCAATGTTTGTGTATCAAAGGTAGCATCGTTACATTTGGGGTCATCAACGTCGGCAGTGTTCCTTCTTTCTTAAAGATTACTCTTTTCTATCTTCTTAGCAGGGTCGTACTGCTTCTTCCAAACAAAGAAAAAAACAGCTAAGGACCTTGGCATGTCGAGCATAGCTTCAGTCGGTAGTCAGGGGGGCTATATATTCAGTTATTCACAGTTATCCCGCTATTCACCAATTGGAAAAAGCTATCCCACTATTCACCAATTGGTAAAAACAAAAAAGGAAAGATGTTTTGATTCCTCAATGTATTCTTTCACAAACTTAGGGGCCCTTTGGTAGGGCTTTGGCTCCGGCTTATTTGCCGGTTTATGCCCAAGCCCTACCAAACGCTAAAAATAAAAATGGCTTCTTCCCAGAAGCCGGTAAAAGCCTCTAGCGTTTTTGCACTAGGATGAGAGAGCCGAAAAAAGTGGCTTCCCCGGCTTCTCTTCCTCCCTTGCGCCAAGACAAATGGAACTATCCCTCAACTTGGCTGGAATTGCAACGAAATTGCCACTCCTACCTCTCTCCGGTGGCGGGCTTGAAGCTCACCGGTGATGAGAGGTCATGACTGCCAGCGCAAATGGTAGCAGTGCACGTGCGCAGCAACTAGATGGATGGCGGACCGGCAATGGGTGGGAGCAGCGGCAAGTGTGGTCTTCAAGCGAGATCAATGACGGCGTGACCCCGCGGGGCGCACTAGCGGCAGAGCAGCTCAGTGGCAGGTCGAATCGGCGGCGTAGCCTAGCACGAGAGACGAGAGAGAGAAGACGAGAGAGCGAGATTGGGAGAGCGGACGGTGGACTCCGGATAAGAGGATAAGGATGTACAGAAAGAAAGGGAAATAGGAAAGGAGGAAAGGAAAAAAATAGAAAAGAAAAATAAAAGGATAAAAATAAATAGAAAGAAAAGAGGAAAAAAAGAAAGAAGGAAAAATCATAAGGGTATTATCTTTTTATTTCACACAAATCACATTATCAATAAAGCCACACATAAAACTCATATGTGCAAGCAACATACGTATGTAAGGGCAAAATGGATATTTGACATCTTCTATACATTCTAAAAAGCCAGAAGAAGCCGTTTTGCCAAACGTTTTCCTACAAAATAAGCCAGAGCCAGAAAAAACTGCTTTTCCAGATGAGCCAGAGCGAGAGCTGTTTTTTCACGAGCCAAAGCCGTGCCAAACGGGCCCTTAGCTGCGTAACTGCACTAAATTAAAAGAGGTTGGCAAATCAGCAAGTTACCACTCAAAGATATTAGGTTGGCTACTGATGTCTTTCTTACAGAAGGACATCTCCTAATCTATAGTGCGTGCAAAAAAAAAAATACCTTTCACCGTGAAGATAGAAGGTCGTAGTTCCTGGACATTGTCGAGATTGATCACTAAAAGATCCCTACGGCGAGATTGATCGCTGTAGTGGATGCCCTCTGTTGACGGTGGCGGACAGGCTGACGGATTGCCTATGAATCTATGATGCATCGGCAGGATGGATGGGAGCACCGATCCAAATAGAGGCAGCGGATGATGGGGCAGCCAAGACGGCGCTAGCGGGGACTTGGGTTTCGGCAGACTTCTTAATGCTTCCTATGCCCCTGAACAACATCCTTGTCACAGCATACTCACCCCATTCGCTATCTGTGTAACACATATATGTTTGGGCATACCTGTTTAGTGCTCGTTAGAGAAGCAAAACACCCTGCTGCCGCGTCTCATCCACTCCAGGTGATCGGCGATGTCCACCATGACGATGATGCTCAAGTCCCTAAATTCAAATGTGGAGTTTGGATAATTATCTCTGAGAATGTGGAGTTTGAACAATTATCGCCTAACCATCTGATCATTTCAGTAAAATTATAAATGATGTAGCAGGCAACTGATTGAATTGATAGACAATCTCATTTTGGCTAAATGAGGTATGGACAGTAAAGAAACTAACTATTCAGAGAGTGTATGTTGCAGCACCTGACATTATCTGAAAAGAAGGATATGTAAGGCTGAATTAGTATAGACTAATGGCAAACAACAATAAGTCTGAGATGCAGGGAAGCAAACAAGATCACACTGACATTCAGTTTGCACAGTGAAGTCATAGCTTGCACAGTGACATTTTCAGAGAAGTCATAGCTTGCACAGTGATAATCAATTTTCAGAAAAATATATAGAAGCTACATTATTCAGGTTCAGAAAGAATATTCAGGCTCCCAGCATGCTAACAGAAATATCATAGTCACAGAAAAATTAATGGAATAGAAAAATATAATACAGGTACAAACAAAAAAAAGCTAAAATATGATCAGAAACAATCTTTTTGTCAGGACTACTTACTAATCAACCCATCCTAACTCCAGCCGTTTCATCTGAGAATATACTTTAGTTTTCATTTGTCCTGGCTTGTGGCAAATGCTCAGGGAACCAAACACAAATCAGATTTATCAATTGAAAGTTAGTTGACGACAGCCTAAAGTTCAGCAAGGTAGCAGCCTAAGATCAGTACCAATTGCAAAAATGCAGGAAAAAAATATGCTATAAAACCAGATGCCTGTGCTTCCTGAGTCTCAGCCTAAAATTAGCTGTTGAATGAGCAATTGCCACCATCTCTACGTTTATATGTTTAATAGGTTCTTTTGAGCTCTATACAACACTCAGATTTTAGAGCCATCACACTACATTGGCCTACTAAAATCCGAAACTTATATGAGTCAGCCTGGCACTACATATGCACAATTGCATGTAGGCTAACTAAAATGGACGAACATTTAATCATGAAACTGAAGGATGTAATGTCTGTACAGTCTCACTATAAATAGAGTAGTGTTTTGAAGGCAGAGAAAATACTACAGGCTGGCCAAAGAGGAAATCTCATGAACTCAATTTCAAGGTACAAATCCTCTGCTGTATGGGTCCCGGACGAACAAGCAGTTGAGTTTGTCTTGGGTCTCGGCGACAGCGTACCCCAACTTTCATTTTTATCTGCCACAGCAAGGGAGAAGAGCGGCAACGGCAGTAAAGAGTACTCAACCAGGACAGTGGTGCACGTCGAAGAAATAAGAGTGTTTTAAATATCTACTATATATAACATGTGGCCAGACCCGAAAAGGAATTGGCCAGCAAAGGAACCGGACAGGAAAATACGAATATGAATGTTTAAGCAGGTAGATAGGAATATAGGAAGAACTGAAATTTCTGATTTTTTTGAAAGTTTGCTCCGATGAAAATAGTCTGTATATTTATACATTGATAACAAAAGTTATGAGATTTCTGAGCTATATAGTTTGGTTGACAAAGATATAAATTTTCATTATTCTTTGATCACTGCAACTCGACAAGGCTAATGCACCTGCATCTACTAACAGAAAATGACAGTTTTGAATTTCTTTTGTCTGAATCTCTTACCTACGCCATTGTGTCAAGCTTTTTATTTTTTATCTGTTCCTTCTGCTGCAATATAAGCGGGTTTGAGCAGAAATATTGTGGGTTGCACCAATGTTTCATATGAGTATTTTTATCAGTTCCTTATGCATGTTATGTTATATTAACCTTTTGGCTCTTAAGTGAAACTATAGTCAGGCTACATATTTTTCTCAGAAGACATTAGTGCTGCGTATTTACATGTGGATGACCCTTTTCTTTGTGTTGCTCCAGTATGAGTAAGACATAAGGCAGCTAATATGCTTTGTACAAAAGTTATTAGCCGCACTATATTGTCGAATTGATATGTAACTGATAAGGCTTGGTTCCCTACGGATATAGATAGATAGATAGATTGATTGAAGAGATTCACCTCCTAAACTGCCAGTACTAAGTGAATTCATCCTTATGTCAAAGTCCATTCTTATCTTGGCGAATCACATGGTTTTGTTTACTTTTCTTTTCTATAGGAAAATAGTAGTGCAGTGATACTCTTGGTCCTTGTCAATGGCGGAGGGAAGTGGGGCTGGCAGCCTGGCTCCCATAGTACGCCTCCTTAATTATATTTTCATTGAGATGCCGGTGTGCTAGCACCTTGGTGATGAGCGATTGACAACACGGTGTGTCGTGTGGCGATTCATGGGTTGTGGTTGTGGTCAGGTGGTTCAATCAGTTTGAAGAACGAGATTGTCAAGAACCGTGGGGGGCGGGAAGGCGGATCGAGGCTTGCGTTCGAGGAGCGATCGTGTGGTGTACGCTCACACATGCACTGGCTACAGTGGGTGGGAGGGAGGAGGTTTCAGATTATGCCACAAAATCCGGGGTTATTTGGTTGAGCCACAAAGCCATGCATCGTCATCGGGATGCTCGTGCGGCGTGCGTTGGCCGAAGATGGAAATTCTGGCGATCGCGATACGATTTCGGATGGTCGTGCGGCGACATCGCGAGGATCACATCGCGGAGATGGAGGGATCGCGGACATCGCGGAATTTGCCATGGAGGACATAATTGGAATTTACGCCCCTACGTTGGATTTATTTAGCATAGGGGGTTATGTGAAAATAGGTCGTGCCACCCTTTGGAGATATAAATATGTGGCACCTAGGGTTGAGAAGAGGGGACGTTTTTGACTCCCGGCGAGTTACTATTCACGTGTGAACAGTATCCCGTGAAGAAGCGTGCCAGGGGGGTTCCACGTGTTAAAGAAGCCTAGGGTTTGAATTCTATGAGAGGTTTTGTTGATCTCTCCGATTAGAGAGGGAGGATGTTCAGGCGGAGGCTAGATGCACTTTTTGTAAGTTCAATTACTCAATTTAATCTTTCATCTATAATGATTGATCTTGTGCATTTCGATTTGTTCTTTACAATTCTCGTTAGCACCTGACATAGTCTGCTTGTTTTATTTTTATCTCAAGATCCGTAAGTCAGATTGACGTGATTCCAGTTAGGTTAGTTTCGTAATTTCATCTAGTTTAATCTGACAAATTTTTAGGTCGATCGGAGTTACGGATTTTCGTCCACATCAGGTTTACTAGGTACATAGAGTTCTGTCCAGATTTAAAAAAACGTGATTTAGTCAGGTTTTGTATTTAGGGGAAGGGTTATAAATTTTTGGCTTCCGCGACCATTGACCCCCCCTCTGGTCGCCCGTTTCGATCCTTCATTCATAATGGCTCCTATATTTCTGATGAGATTCATGGATTTCAATCAGTTTCTAATGAGATTCATGAGAGGACAGGAGAGGCAGGCACGGCACCTCACGGTGGCGTCTGGCTATTGCGCGTGGCGGGGCAGGCAGAACAAAGGGGGCGTTGGTGCAGCTAAAGAAGCGTGTGATAAACTGATAATGTTGATGTTTTAAGGGCTTATTAGCGCCATTTGCATCGGAGCTGGAGGCCTTTGACAAATCTTCGACCGCAACCTGACTGCGTCCAACGCTGAAGCGCTGGACGTGCTCTTCCCGGACGGTGGATAGGGCTCGTCTAGGCAGCCACGAAGGCGCAAGGCCACCTCCTAGGTCGCACCGCTGCGTCGGTTTTGGTTGTTTTTCATTTATGTATATCGAAACTAGGGGTATATTGCTAGGATGGTCCATCTACGATTATTTTAGGTCGACCTCCTTCTGCGCTCGATAGAAGCGCGCTGTCTGTATGTTTAAACTCTTCTACTTAATAAAATGATACGTAAATCTTTTGCATATTCGAGAGAAAAAAAAACTAGCACCTGGACTGAGTTTTTGCAATTGTGCAGTCATACAAGGTCCTCCAGTTTTCAACCATTCTGTTCTGCATTCTGTTTTGATCATCCTAAATGATAGGGAGATCAAGTGCAACAACTCATCAGATTGACGGAGTCCTAACTCCAGTCTCGGGAAAACTCTACAGGGATCGCATCTCAGACATAATCACATAATGACATAATTTTTTTGCGACTGATCACATAATGACATAACATAGAGTGTTTTCATATTATTTCAATGAGGAACCGTTTATTCATTCAACAGCAGAACTGTATGTGCATTGCTATCCAAGAGATACTCCTGAACAGTGAACATGGTATTCCAGGATCGAGGTTTCCATCGCATACTGGAATCCATACATTCTCCGCTGAGGACAATTTGTCACAAGCGCAGAGTTATTATCACCATTGGGCGAAATCAAGCAAACGAAGGATATAGCCACCTAGTCAGTGTGAGCTCAGTCCACCAAACAAATAACCTCCTGTTCTTTAGAATCATCTACCCATGGTTTGAACTGATCTTCATGTACATTGTTCTGCAGAAGAATGAAGCTCAAAGTTAGCAGATTCACATTGCTGCTTAGGTATGCAACAGCCTGGCAATAAGAAGACAGTATGTACTGATACTGGAAACAAAACTGGTTCCAGTGTGGTTGACATCAGGTCTGCTTAACCAGACCTAATGGCACCTGACTTGGAGCCTTGCAGGCAAAGAAAATGCCAATCTCAGCAAAACAAAATGAATAGTTCTATCCAAAAAATGTGTAGTTCAATACGGAGAATGACAGCTTTAGGGTTGGACACTTGTGCTTGAACAAAAGATATGGAAACATATGGATCTGATATATGAAAACTTTTTTCAAACAAAATACAAAGATAAAGACAACAGGCACTGCCAAAATAATTACGAGACACTACAAGCATACCTGCAACCAGAAGAGAAACCCACGCATCAGAGCTAGACCATTGCGATGGCCACTTTTCATAATTTGGTCGGCCAGATCTGAAGTAAAAAAAAATAAAGAAAATGCATTAATTACTACAGTTACAAGCAAATCTGGCCTGTTCAAGAATAAACAGCACTCTTTCTCAACAACATATTGCTCGGCACCAACTACAGAAGTGCTTTGTGGGTGCTTCTTGTGTTACTACAGTGGTCCCAAAAATAGTTTAGTCACCAAACAGAAGGAAAAAAAACCTTCTGATGGGAAATAAATATATTATTGTCCAAGAGAATGAATCTAGTTCGTGTGTTTATTTACCATTCCATCATGACTATGATCTCATCATATATAAACTCAAAGTTCCAAAAGAATCGATTGTGAAATGAGCCATTAATCGGTTATAGGGTTCAGTTCAACAAAAACTAAGTCTGACATTTGTAGTGTTGTATAAGGCAAACCAAATTGATCCAACACCTATAGAAATATTGTGCATGGACTACTATTGGCTTCAGTAATTGACCCTGAAAATGAATACTCCAATGATAACAGCTACTGTAACTGAGTCTTTTTTCTGTTCAACTCCTGCCGACATTACAAGTTCTAAAGGAATAACCAAGGACATCAAGATGTGCCTCAGAAAGACTATATACACAACCATATACCAGTGATTCAACAATGTCATACTATATATGATGCACCAAAAAAGAATAGGCAAACAAAATGCTTGAATATCATTGACAATAACAAAGTTGTCACAAGGAGAGGACAAAACAGGACATTAATTGCAGTGATATAGTCATACAAACAAGACCCAATAAAGGACATCATACAAGAAATTTATTGCAATACTTTCATCAACAAGAATGTAAAATAGTGTGTGATGTGAGAAGAAATATGGAGAGAGTGTTCATAAACAAGAAGTACGCAAGCGCTGCAAAACTGTACCGGGGTAATAGTCCAAATATGAATTGTCCATCTCTTCCACAGGATATAATTTTGTTTCATTGTAGTCCTGCCGCAGCTTGATCAACGGAGTACGGATAGTAACTGTCTCAAACAATCTATAATACTCCTTCGGAGCAACTGGCTTTGTAAGAGCCTTGATCAACCTTCGCTTGAAATCTGAATCTAGCCTCCGTGTGATATGTGTAGGCCATATAATACCTAGTTCATTTTCTACTTTTTCCCCCTGTATCAGATGAATAGGAAGGAAGAACAAATAAAATGCAACAAGTATGTCAAACATCGTCTCTTTTAGAAGAATGCATAAATCAAAATATACATTTCTTCAAACAACTTGAATGAGACGTTTTGATCCACGTTCTGAAAGTAAGTTGAGAAAGGCGCACGTTATGTTAAAAGAAACATACTGGGCTACTGGCATATTTTACATTTTTTTTTTCTTATCGGATACAGCTCCTGGCACAGTCCGCTGAGAACAAGCCCGGATGTACAGAAATGGAAATTCTTTGCGCACTGAGAGCTAATAGGTACTGTATAATGTCGTATTCCTTATTCTGTTAAGGACAGCATGCGCTAGTGGGTAGTGACAAAATGACAATGACGTGCAATTGTAACTATCAGAATTTCTCACCGAATTAGCATGGTGTCCTGCACGACGGCCATCACTTGAGCTGGCCTGGTGCTTGCATCAGACAGCCCCTCATCTTCGCCATCGTTCACCTCACGCCGTGGTGATGGATTCGCACGCCAATCGCACGCGTACTGCTTCGGAACAACTGTCGCCGGAGCACCGGAGGCGACGTCATCGCTCCCCACTACAACACCGACTCCTTCCCCCGGCGAAGCTAAGGCCTTCTCTCCAACACCCCCCCCTGCGCATCTTTCTCCTCCCGAGACCCCGCCGCAACCGGCTCATCGTAGTTGACGATGATGCCCCCGATCTCGAGGACCAATTGGCCTTCCACAAGGCTCGTGTGCTGCAGGAAGAGGTGGTAGTCCTCGTCGACGTCATCGAGAGATCGTACCACGCGGGAGCCGTCTCCAATGACGCCGACTCTGAAGATTCCCTCTCCTCCACGGCTCCACCGCGCGGCGGGTCGGAGAGCTTTTGAGGCGGAGGAGTTGTGGCAGCGGGCTTGAGGAGCGAGGCCGAGGAGTCTCGTGGGCCGGGACGCACTCGCCGTCGGAGGATGTGCTCGAGTAAGGCGTGTTTGGGGGCCTCGTACGTTTTTTTGAGGAGCTCCAGGCCGAGAAAAAAGGGTCTGTGTGAGCCGGGAGCCACAAACTCGAGTTTTTTGTAGGAGTCACCGTCGAGGTGGATTTGCTCGACCCCTAAATAGAGGTAGTCGGGGTCGGCGTCGCTGGCGGGGAGGTCGCGAGGGAGCGAAGGACCGGCATGGGGGGGGGGGGTGCTGGGGCTAAGGGTTTTAGTGAGCTCGGACGACCGGCTCGTGGGAATCGGGAGCGGCTGGCTTTCCTAGACGTGTTTGGTATAGCTTACGAGCGCTTCCTGAATGAATAAACTGCATAAATAAAGTAAAAGCGATGATTAAAATAAACTGGTCTGATCCACCTTCTGCTTTTTAAAGTATAAATGAAAGCTATGGGAATAAGCGTGGCCAGAATAAGCTGCTGAAAAGCGTGACGTTTAACTATTGATTTCAGTTTATTTTGACTATAAAGACTTATAAGCTGTACCAAACAAGGCCATAATCAGTTGTGACAGAATCGAAACACCGTGGTTCCCAAGCCGGGCTGAATGACCATGATTCTTTGGCCCATGATACTTTCGTCTCTGCAAGTATGCCTATACCGGGCTGAAAGTAATTCACGGTTTTCCCCGGAAGGCAAATATGGTTTTTGGGCGTTGCTAGAGCGTGCGCGTGTAGGATTTCAAAGTCCGATATGCACACCTCCTCACACAGCACTTTGTAGTTGCAAAAAAAGCCCCTACCTCGCCTACGGCGTCACCTTCTCCCCCGCGCCGCCGCCGCCGCCATGGCCGGAGCTCCCCCACACCGACCTGGCCCAACCGCCAGATCCCCTAAACCATCCATCGACCATCCCCACCGCCTAGCCTACCTGCCTCCCCTTGGCCGGTAATTCTATAGCCCATCGGAGTTGGAAGGAGAAGATAGGGAGAGCTTTCCTTGCTCGTCGGAGTTGGAGGAGGAGAGAGAGGAGGAGCCCTACCTGGTGCGGATCCACCACCTCCGCGACGCCAAATCCAGTGGATCCGCCACCGTCGCCGCCGCCGCCGGATCCAGCAGATCCGCCATGGCCCACACTAGTCGCTGGTGTATGTGTGTGGGAGAGAGAGAGCGGTGCGGGAGGGAGGAGAGAGAGAGAGAGAGAGAGAGAGAGAGAGAGAGAAGCGAGAGAGTGCGCGAGCGAGAGAGTAGGGGTGGGGAGGGGATAAGGTGCGTAGGAGGCTCGAGGTGTGCGGGCGTTTTGGACTATGGGCGCACGCCCGAAAATTAGTATTCCCAATTATTTTTTAGTCCATTCACGCCTAAACTGCCAGTACTAAGTGAATTCATTCTTTGGTCAAAGTCCATTCTTATCTTGGCGAATCACATGGTTTTGATTACTTTGTGGCGAGGATCAATGATATTGATGACTTTTCTTTTCTGTAGGAAAATAGTAGTGCAGTGATACTCTTGGTCCTTGTCAACGGCGGAGGGAAGCGGGGCTGGCAGCCTGGCTCCCATAGTACACCTCCTTACATAATCTAATTAGTTAATTAATGATGTCCTTTGTATTTTGATTTCTTTCCTCCTTTTATATTAATCATGTGGTAGAACCGTCCGAAATAACACATATTCGGAGGTGCTCGTCTTTCACCAGACACTAAGGCCCCGTTCGCTTGGAAGAATCTTGGAGGAATGGAGGAATATGAGAGAGAATCAGCCGGGAACAATAAAAATCATCCGAGAACAGTGTGTTTTTTGGAACCAGCCGAACGCAGCCTAAGTACCAAAGCGAGATACTTCGAGCAGTTCCGTCGAGCACATCCCAAGGAAGAACTCGAATAATCCATGTTTTTCCTCCAGGATTCAATAATGAGAACGAGTTTATAATACTAATCCATTTCATACCATCAGAGTTCTTAGAAATACATTATTACAGTACCAAGTTCAAAGTGCGGAATTTAAACAACGGAATTAAAATAAACGTCTATCGGTAATATACAAGGATCCGTCTGTGCCCACCAGAAGAATCCTTTACACAACAGCTACTCCTCAAGCTGCACCAGCAACAGAGGTAAATAAATCCTGAGTACACAATGTACTTGCAAGACTAGTGAGAATAATTTTCTGACTCCAAATGATATGATAAGCTTTATGGTTTTCGCTGGGTTTCCTTTTTGCGGAAAGTAGTACTAATAGTAAATCCTTATGTTTGTTTCTTATTAGCATTTATGATTAGTTCATTATCTAACCATTCTAGATAAGCATGTATTCTACTTTCAATTAAGGTGAAAGCATCTAGGCTCTCTAGTTGTGTTTCGGTGATTAATGACAATACAAGATTATTATGACTAACGTGTGTTTTATAGAGGCAATTAAGTTAGGTCATGGTAATGGAGATCGATTGGGCATTCAAGGTGGTCATGCCCCTACGATGAAAATCGTTTCGGTTTTCAAAGGATGGACTAGTTCTAAGTGTCGTTTGAAGTTGGAGAGACACTTAGAGTAGTTTAGGACTTTATTTTTCCTTTGGTCGTACTATTAAGAGGGGTATGGACAGATAGCTTGACCTAGGTGAGTCTAGTGAGTTAGGTGTGGTGCACACTTGTTAAAACTAGCACTAGGTAGCTCCTAAATATGCCTAAGAACCATTGGAGCAAACTTCATTCACATATGATCGAGAGTTGAAAGTGAATGGAGGGTTAAATACTGACCGGACGCTGGCACAGAGTCCGGTCAGTTCATTTGACCAAAGTGAAAACGTTTGGTGTGACCGGACGCTAAGAGGTGAAGTGATCGGACACTAAGAGGCAACGTCCGATCGACTCCAATAAGGTTTCAGAGAGGGAAAAACACGACCGGACGTGTCTGGTCAGTGCTGACCGAACGCTGGCCAGCGTCCGATCACCCTGTAAACACTGGAGTTCGGGGTATATTGACCGAAGCGTCCGGTCAATATGACCGGAGCATCCGGTCACCCCACAGAGGCACATAACGGTTCATTTTTCAGCCCTTGGTATAAATACCACCTCCACTCGTGTGTGGGGGTACTTTTGCTCATTCCAACAGCTAAGAAACACCTTAGAGAGTGCCAAGAAGAGCAAGGTCCTAGTGAGGTGATTGAGATTTGAGAATCCCAAAGAGAGCCCTCAGTAGCAAGATCAAGGATAGCAAAGTGTGCATCCACCCTTCTCATTAGGCTTGTCGTGGTCAAGTGAGAGTTTGTGCTTGTTACTCTTGGTGATCGCCATCATCTAGACGGCTTGGTGGTGATTGAGAGCTTGGTGATCATCCGGAGAGCTTATGGATAACCCAACTCAAGTTATGAGCGGTTGTGGGTGATTCACCGCGACGGAGTGTCGAAGAATCAACCCGTAGAGAGCACTTGATCCTTACGCGGATCAAGGGGAGCTACACCCTTGTGCGGGTGCTCCAACGAGGACTAGTGGGGAGTGGCGACTCTCCGATACCTCGGCAAAACATCGCATGTTGTTTCTCTCTCTTTACTTTCATTTACTTTGAGCAATTCAATTCTTGTTTTTACATTCATAGAATTGCCATGCTAAGTAGGATTGGAACTTAGGTTGCAAGTCTTTTGTGCGGTAGAACAACTAGAAACACTTTCTAGGCACAAGGGATTAATTAGGCTAAACATAGGACTTAATTATTGCAAAGAAATTTAGAATTAGCCCAATTCACCCCCCTCTTGGGCATCTTGATCCTTTTAGTTGGTATCAGAGCCTCATGCTCACGTATTTAGGCTTAACCGCCTAGTGAAAGATGTCTCACGGGGTTGGACCTCCTCCTATCTTCTAGGGGGATGATTTTCCATATTGGAAAATCCACATGGAGGCGTATCTAGAAGCTCTAGACGTTGGAATTCTTAGAGCCGCCTCACAAGGTTTCTCAAAACCTAAGGATGTCGCACACCCACAAGGCAATGAGTTGAACTACGAAAAATGGAATGCAAAGGCTGAAAACACCATATTTAGAGGCCTTTGTAAAGATGTGTTCAACCGGATGAGGAACCACAAAGACGCCCATGCACTATGGTCGGACATTTGTGCGCTCCATGAGGGAACCAAGAGTGAGCGTGAGAAACGCTATCATCTTGTCATGAAAAAGCTCAACTCTTTGAAATGCTTTCTAAAGAATGTGCTAATGAGATGTATTCACGTTTGAATGTTCTTGTAGAGGAAGTTAATAGGCTTGGACTCACTCAAATGCAATCATCCGATGTTGTGAGAAAGATCTTGAGTGTCCTCCCCATTGACAAGTATGGACATATTGTGACCGTGCTACATTAAAGCGATCTTTCCACCGCTACATCGACACAAATCTTGAGAAAGATCAATGCTCATGAGATGTAAATGCACATCACACCTCAAGATGGCTCATCCTCTACAAAGAAGAAAGAAAAAGACTTAGCATTCAAAGCTAGCCAAGAGAAGGGCAAAGCAAGGCTTGAGTATGAGAGCTCAAGTGATGATGAAGTTGATGATGAAAGCTTGCTCTCATGATGAAGAAAACCGCCAAGATGCTAAATAAGCTCAACAAGAGTGGCATCAAGTTCGATAGCAAGAAGAAGAAGTTTTCACAAGCTCAAGAAGAAAGCC